TTGTTTCCTATTCTTCATTCAGCGTATAAAATCCCGTATCAGTTAAAAAAAAGCTATGTTTGTAATTATATGATACATTGGTTTCAATTTAGTGAAATTTTTCCAGTCTTGTTCTCTTAAATAACTATGCATTTACATAATATTTGCCTTATCTGTTGAAGAAAATCTGTAAGGTAGTGGTTGGATGTAATCGACTGGATACTCTGGACCTATATTTTGTGCTATTTGGCACTCATCATCAAAGGGTACCTATAATCATTAGGGAACTGATACTCTCTGATAGATTTGGTCCTGTATCACCCAGCTTCACTGTCAGAGACTTTATCACTAAGCTATTCGGGCCTCTACTAACCTTTTGTAAGACTGAGATGTATTTACAACTGATTGATCACTGGTTAATGACCAGTGTCATGTATGATTGGTACTTCCTTGTTCAGACCAAATTCTGTCAATCACTTTACAATTCGACAACTAGTCTAGGTCACCGGACATCGAGTGGATTATGTTGAGATTTGAAATGTTGGTTGGAGGTAGTCAACAGGAATTTCTGTTTGTTGACATTTATGACATTGGTCACTGTCCGGGCATCAATCAATTGTGAGGAAGCAATTTTGCAAGTTTGTCGTTTTATTGGTAAAGTTCCGAATAAAAAATTTCCATATGAAATTTATAGGGGACTGGTCTTATCATTAAAGAAGCACCTAACGTTGAAGCATTCTGATGTATGACCCTATTCATATTATTACTAGCGCTTATACTCATTTAAAGCTAATAATATGAGTTCATAACTGTTCATTAAGTTATATCTATCACATTTATATTGTTATTATCAGATATTCACCAAACTTGTAAAGTACGTAAATAGCTGTTCTTATACTTTAGATCAAGTTTTAGTGGAAAGTCTTTTAATGATCTGAGATTATAATAACATCTTATTAGGAAGCAAACAGTTAATATTATTTTTTGATGACAACTGAATGTTACAGACACCGTCACATTTTAATCAAAAACTTTTCTCAATCTAACTAATTGACCATTTATATTTTTTTGTAAATGAAAAAATCTTAAAAAATTAATACAATTTGAGGCTGATATTTAAGAAACAAGTTACTATCTAGCCACTTTGTTTCCGTAATCATGCCTAACAACTTGTTAATGTTCAAATAGATTATTCTGTTTTATTACCTTTGTAATTAGGTATTTAAAAAATATTAATCAGCGTAATTTATTGCATCAAGAAACATTAAAAAGTATCTTTAAAAGGTTGAAATATTGTAGACAAACAGTTCAAAACCTAAGTGTTGATCATGTTGTTAGTTGTCAGTATGATGTACATACAGTTTAATTAATCGCATGGTTATAAGTCAAGTAATAAATATTTTACTCATATACAAAGGCACACGGAAATATCAAAAGCTATGAATTGAATCATTCAAGAACTAGATCATTAGGATGAACTTATTTAATGCTTTTGAAGTACTTTTGAAAAATCATCTATTTGTGTAATGTCACTGTGTTCAGTCCTGAGAGTTTGATTGATCTTTTTTTCTCACTATCGAGAATATATATTTTTATGGTTAGATTTTTATTTCCATGAATGACATCAAGTGTTTTTGTTTCATTTGAGTGACTAAGCAAAAACTATTTGTCAACATTGGTATTTTTTATATTTAGTAATATGAAAATTCCAGTATAAACATTTAAAAAAGCACATAATGAATGAATATTTTTATTTAAATTTTCGTCATCGCTCTACATAGGCTTTGATAGCAAAGCAAATGCTTATCAAGTCTTGCGAATAATGGTTAATGAATTTATTTCAACAAACCTTTGAAAAGAATCTAGAATTCTCAAATTATTTGCTTATCAAGTAACTTTTACATGATATAGAGGGTCAGTGCGGATTCTGGAATCTTTACAGTTTGAATCACGAAGTGATCACAGGTACTACTAAATAGCTCAAAGTGATGGATGGCTGTTTCGTCTTAATGTGGGATTTCTTCACAAATCAACTATATAATTAATCATCAATTGCTCGCTGGCGACTAGTTTCAACATGTAACTTCTGATGTCTCAGCGAAAAGCTTTAGCCAATACGGTTCATTTTGTATCGGATTTGAGATCGCTATCAACCTCAAGCAATTGATAAAGGTTGTGCAATATCATGAGTTGGCAAAGGTTAAATGCTAACACCGTTGGGTACCCGCTCAATGGTCTAGAGGTTATGCGTGTGAGTGTGAGACCAAAGGTCCTGGTTTTGGTTTCTGATTGTAGGGTCGGGAATTCGCACTTCTGAAGAAACCAATACTAGGAAGAAATCGCTGTCTATTGGTCCCAAATTTTTAACTGGGGTTTAGTTGAAATCAATTTATGATTTAAATTGTGAAAATTGTTTTACGAGCAATGCTTAATCGTTGATACTCATCCATCTATGGCTGTAATTAATAATTATCAACACGTTTCACTTTAATCAATAATGACTGAGTTTTACTTAATTGTTTTGCTCACACACTCCTTTACATTGTTTTATCAAAAATATGTTTTGTATCACATTTACAAATATATAAATATGATACTTATTTCATAATATCTATCATTCCGTAGGCGTTGTATTTCTTTCATTCATATAAGTGAATAATATCTAAGAGTTACAGATTTTATAATAGACTTGTTATATAATCATGTAATCAGATTCTATATGTTTTTAATAATAATAATAATACAAGTAATAATATCTGACTGTTAAAAAAATGACATCATATAAAAATGAAATATTTTGTATGCTATACATGCCATACCTTTTTTGCTGGTCAATAATTATTCAACTAGTTGGTATGAATTAATTCATTAATTTTTAAAAAAAAAACCAAATTAAAAAGTAATATGATTGATTATTATTTTCATATATTAAACTGATTACATAATTTGAAGAAAATTAGGGAATAGGGATGGCTTTACAAATAGAATTATGGTCTAGTATCAAAGTGTTTCAATGCTTTCGTATTTATGTTGTATTATCCGTACTAAAGTAATTATGATGATCAGTAGTTGTTTTGTAAAATATACTATTCCACATTCCTTAATTGTTTTTAAAGGTATAAACATATAATATTGTTGTTAGTAATATAATATTGATATAAAATAGATAATGGAATGTTCATGAAATGAAGACTGTTTTGTAACAACTACGAAATACATGTAAATTTTTGTCACATTGTAGTTATAATTCAATTAGTAATAAATGGATTGAGCGAATAACTACTGATGCTACAAGCAAATGATTTTTGTTATAATAAGTATAATTATAATTATCGATAATAATAATCATGTTAGTACCATGAGTAAATCCATTATTGTTGGTATGATCATTACCTCATATGGTGGTAAGAAAATAGATATTATTTTCGGTACTTGTGCAATTATGCTGTTTGTATAATATTAATTGCTTGTTAGTTTGATCTATAAAGCTGTATGAACTGCTAACCTTGGGTAACCTTGTCCGTGATAGTCCGCGATTTTTCTGGACACCGAAAATTTAACTTATTAGAGATAGATAGTGGGAAAAGAAATAATATATTCAAGTAAAAAAAGCCTTACTTACTATTTGATATGGAGTATTATTCTGCTGTAATATTCGTAACGTGGAAATAAATGTATAAATAAAACAGGGATAATTCAAATAACAAAGATCACTATAAATTTTCATTATATAGACTGTAACTGAGTATGAACAGATTTCTGCAAGATTTAAAGGTATCTGAATTCACACTGAAATCGTTACTATAAAATGTTACAGGTATTTTTAGTAGTAGTAATAGACTTCGCGTGATGACGTAGTTAGAAATTGATCACGATATTACTACACTCCATCATCCTTAACTTTTTAATATGCTGTCGTGTTTATTTTAGGTAAATTTTTTGCTCATTTTAATAATTTTTACTTACATATTATATGCTGTTTATAAATACCATAATTTTAATTAACTAACCTTTGCACAACGTGTCATCTTGCCATTTGGTTTTTTGGCGATAAAGTGAACAAAAATTTTATATTCATAGTTTCTGTTTTCATCTAGCCCGTCGTTTCACCTTATGGTTCGATTTTGAAAACAACCTATAAACTGTTTTATATTGGTGTACTTGAAAACAAATTTGTTACACTTTTAATCTGAATGAACAAAGACAATAAGTATAATACAAGTGAAAAAAGTTTAAAAGAGAAGATATAATCAAGCAGCAACGAAAAAACCTCTAATGATGAACATTCCATAGAAAGTTTTAATAACAACTAACTAGGACGTTTAAAAAATGGATAATCTGAGTAGTTATAGTTACTATTCATAGAAAAAATATATAAATTTTAATTGTGAATCAGATATTTGGAGAATGAAACTTTGGACTGTTAACTTTAAAAACAATAAAAGTCTTAGTATTTCTGGATGAAATACCCGATATTAAGAAATAATATGAAAATACTGAAATACGTCAAGATATGAGTGAGGTGTTTCATGAGCATAATTAGGTACTTCATTTGTTAGTTATCACTATTCAAATGAATCTTTATATAGAAATACAGTGATTATCTTTATTTCTTCCATTCTTAGTTACTTTTAAAGTTGTTCATTTTTACGTTCATAAAGTTTAATGTAAAAGGAAGATAATTCACTTCATAAGAGCGATCTAAAGTAATCACAATTCAAAGTAAACATCAGGATAGTGTCCTAAGAGTTTCTAAATGTAAATTTATTATTTAACAGATCATTTATACTCTAACGGAATCATTTAAATATTTCTTCATGGTAAATTTCACACGCTACATATATTTAAAAATAGAATTTTATCTACCTACCTTAATAAAATTTATTCAGAATCATTGAAATTCACATGAAACTAACATTTGTTTGCCTACATTATTATTGGTACAATGATTATCAAAACACGTTTTATAAAGTGGTAATTTTTTGCAACATTTTTTCTTTCTGTTTTTACTGTTTTCTTAGTGATGAAGGATTAAGGAAAAAATTTTTCACAGCTCTCGAAGATTTACGAATACATGGACCACCTGGTATATCACGGCATCCAGGACCAAGCCATATAAGCTATCAGTGGATTTGTGATATTTGGTTAAAACATCATTTAGGTCTTGTACAGCTTATTCCTATATTTTCAATTCGACGTGTGGATGGTCGAATGTTGTCTAGTTTAATCACATATAAACGTTCAAAACATTACATTCAGCATAAAAATAGACTAAAAAGTAAAGATATTCATCACAATTGTAATAACAATAATAATAGCCATAATATAATCATTTCTAATCCTAATGGTGATTTTCCTGTTTCAAATCCTTCACAACAGAATCTTATCAATTTGAAAAATAATCAAATTAATGGTAGTAAGAGTAGTAATAGTGATAATGTTAGCAAACATTCTAGTATTAAAAGTATTTCGTCTGTATCTTCTACAAGCAGCTTAACTAACGCTGTTCAAGATTCCAGCAGTCATATTGATAGCAGTAACAAATATGATAATGATAATGAATATATTGAACGTAATTGGCAAGTTGCTGGACATAGAGAAATGTTACATATTTTATTAGGTTTGTCGCATAAATCATCATCATCGTCGAGTAGTGGTGCAGATTTATCTATAGATTCTAGATATTTACTTGGCAAAAAAGAGGCTGAAAGTTTACGTACTGCTATTGAATTATTGCATCATCATAATTTCAATATAGAGGTGAGTATCCAAGTTTTCAGAATGATGCATGTAATATAACAAATGGATTTCCAGTTTTTAATTCAATATGATTTATGTTTGTTTGAAAAGTAACAAATTCAATCTATTTATTTTTTTTCATCCAAACTGTTTAGCTATTTTATGCTTTTCTTGTCTAAATTATTAAAACGTTCGACGGTAATATGATGTACTTATTCAAATTACGGTTAACCTAGAAATTCGTATTACAAATTATCATTAATTCATTTCAAAACCCAAATGGTCAAGTTATAGGATTAGATGTATATTTAACTACTTTTAAATGTGAAGTTTTCTTCCATCATTAACTTCTAAAAAATTTCAGAGATTTAATTAGATAAAGGCAACTGAAAGTTATATAGGATAAATAAAGATATACAAATCTCAAACAATGAACTGGAAAGGTGTTTTGGCACAATCAAGATCCAAATGAAGTTTCAATGTCAAAAACAGTGAGCTTATATAACACATAAATATTTTACGTGAAAATAAAAATCTACAGAGTATTTATTTGAGCAACGAAATACAATATATGTACGTTTGAACTAAGTGATAATGTACAGAAAAACCAACATTTTGTATTCACAGTTTTATGGTATGACTTGGGTGAACTTAGAGGTTAAATTAAGGAAGAATCAATCTTGTTTTCAAAGGTGTTAATCAACTAAACCTTTGAACTCTATCATCTGATTTACTTTCCCTCTTTTATGCTTGTGAAATATATATGCGATGTTGTGTAGTTACACAAGACTAAATAATTATAGAATGCTTAAGTGTTTTATTTAAGTTAGTCTTGTTGCATAGTCGAATGTGAAAACGTACCTATGTAACACAGAGTGATAAAAATTCTCAACACAACAGTCAGCAAACGTCACAACATTTCTTGTCCAGTTTCAGTAGACAAGTAATGCCTAAAAGGTATTGTATCTAGTGAGTCAATGAAATAATGTTATATTTATCTATTCTAATTATAACGATAGAGTTAAACGTGAGTCATAATAAGTTGTGTGACATGTTCGTAAATAAGTAAAACCTGGCTAAATCGGAAGTATTTAAGAAATCTGAAAGTTGGGTTTGAATAATGTTTACTGATGAAGTCACCATTCTCAACGAAACGCCTATGTTTGTGTATTTTACGCTAACTTAACTTAACAATTAAATTGCTTGTTAGGTGCGACATCAAATTTAAATCAATTACACTAGCTAAAACTTTCAAAAAGATACGGAAAAATGAATTAAATTAAACAGTATACAGGATAACTCAAATCCAAAATCAATATTGAATAGACCATTCCCAATAATTCCATTAAGAACATACGTTTTTGATTGGCTGTTGAACATATATAATTCGTTTTTAGTATTAAATGTCAACTAAAATCGATAGAGATCCATGTCCTTTTTCAAAGTAAAACTTATGAATATATTATTAGTAACAATTTATAAATTAAATTTTCGGAAATATTTTAGAAAAATAATTTCATTTCCTGTTTCACAATTTATGGGATAAAAACAGCGTGTGTTTTCTTCACGTTATTTTCTAATTAAAACGATAGTAGAAAACAATTTAGTAAGTTACTGACATGTTATATTGATTTGAAGCCTGTACAATGGAAAATAGTAAATCGCGGAGTAATGAATACGAATGTTAAACTGAAAAAAATGATAAAATTAAGAAATAGAAGGATGTATATCAGTGGCAATATTCCGTTTACCTTGATATTATCATAAAAAGATAATGTGTTCAAAATTTATCTGCAATCCAGGTACTAATTTGTCTTGTCCGTATAGAGAATACATTTTCTTTTAATTGAAAGTCACTTGTCTAGTTATAACGTACTTATATCAGCTTTAGACTGAAAATTTGTAAGATTTTGGAGAAGGTCAACTATCTAGCTTTGAAGTATAGCAATAAATGGTTTGAATAATGTTTGCTGGTGAAGTCACCATTCTCAATGAATCGCCTGTGTTTGTGCATTTTACGCTATGCTGACTTAACAACTAAATTGCTTGTTAGGTGGTACCTCAAAGTTTTTGTTCCAAATGACAAAGAAAAGTGCCACTAAAATGAAACAGGTACCCAGTACTCTCCAGATTTGACTGATTATCCGCCAGACTTCAGCTTATGATTGAGCCTACCTTCAAAATACTTTCTTTGTTAACTGAAGGTTGACGCTACGAAAACTGACGTATGATATTCACTAATTATAGCATGTTTTCAAAATTTCCCGAAACTAGTAAGACAGTACTGTTAAATTAAGTTCATATTTAATCGAAGCCTGAACATCGTAGTGGTTATGATTTTACTATAAATTGCTTATTTTGACTCTAATTATGTCCTTTAGGGATGAGTCTGCTTATTCTCATTGAACATGTGCTCAGGTAGCTTCAAAACCAGCTATTGTCAAATGTTCCGATCAACGTGGGAGTAGAAAACTATGTTCATCGATAGAGAAACATATAATTGAAACGGGGTACAAAATTGAAATTAATATAGCTCTTAAAACGTTGTATAGAAATTGTCATGGACGAATTATCAGGTTTATTGAAGCCATGGCTATTCGTAAATTTAACCCCCATTATGTGTATAAAAACAACTTGTCGTAACCTTGAATTTACCCTGGTAATCCTTAGATCATTCTATGGCCTACGATAACGCGACGATTTCTTATTCTTTCTATACGATGTAAAATATCTCTCGCCCCTTTGTTGACGTTTTACTTGAACTTTCATTTAATTTTCCTATAAAATGCCTGGGCAAGTATGTGTGGCCAGATCGTTCGAAATGTATAGCGCAAATACATCACATTTTCCAGATCAACCCTGTCTTCTAATTGTTCTTTCAAAATTTATACAAGGAACTAATTGCTTTGAATTATTTGATACATAGATAACAGAAATATGTGCAGCAGCGTACCAGTGAATAGATCCATCTCTTTCGTTTATTAGCATATTTTTAAAAATATATATTAGAAAGTTGATTCTTTTTTACTTGATTAATTATTTAGCTGATAGAACAAATTCGTGCTAAATCTGATCTTTCCGAGTTAGATCTTTTGTATTGGACAAATGATCATATTGTTAAGTGGTTATCCGATTTGGGTTTAAGTGTAAGTCTTATTATTTTTTTAATTAATATTTTTTAAAGTATACCAAATCGTCCGTGTGGTTGAATCTCGTTATGGGAACTACACTGAAGACCATTTTGGTAATTTTTGAAACTTTTATTCTGTAATATTATCTATTATTGACAAATAAGGTAATCACATCCAACTTATTTCTTATTTTAGGAGAAAAAATATTATGCAGATGGTTTTGAACAATGTAATTTTGATTTTTAAGACGTTTAGATCAAAAACGGTAATAACTAGTTCTGGAGATAAATGGAACGTTTTTTACTAAACATGAAAATTGCACCTTACCTTACAGATTACCATGGATGACGGCATGACCCCAACTATTACTCATAAATTTACCATTAATGACCTGCTCCAAACAACGTTCCCTTGGATACATTGGTCACGCTCTCAGATCAACAAGGTCACTAATAATATAGTTTCCTCTTCAGTTACTTCAAGAAATATCCTTTCGTGCTGTAGGAAACCTGAGGTTGACAAAAACTCAATAGTCCGTTACGGCGCACGTGATATTATTTACAATCAAATCCTAATCCTAACTGAACAGTTTATAACATCAAACTTGGTTTAATTTTGAATACAGATCTGACAAAATTGATAACTAATAATCAGTCTTTAATTACCAATCAATAATCTACTCAGCAATTCATTAAATGCAGATTTTAATTAGATTTAATCTTTGTCAGTGTAAAAAATAACTTTTGATGACGTCATTTGTTCTTTTACTTTTCTGACGGTACCAATTTTAGGACATATCTTTTTGGAATGTAGCTCTCTAACAAAGTCTGGACTGACACATTCGGCTGTTTTAGCCACTAAATTATCGCGAATCTTCAATAAATGCTAATTTTTTCTTGAAAATAGTTTCCTCCTATAATTTTGTATCAATCATTGGTCATCGGCCCGCCATGGTTGATGAAGTTAACAGATTACGTATGGTAGTCAGCACATGTAACGACTTCCTGATCTGCTGTTCGTTCATGCATTGAAGTGTATTAGTAGTGAAACAATAATTATCATTTGGGAAGTAAAACTTACCCTGAAAGTTTTGGGATGTTCAAACAATTGGTTAGAAGAAAGTATTTTGTAGAAGGTCTGACAAGAAATGACTGTTCGGTTTTTGGGGAATGAGAAGGCATTTATTTAAATGAACGGAAAACTGCCAATTTGTTAAATGTTTGTCACGACATTGAATTGATAAAAGCTGATGACCTTGAAAATATCGTTATATATCCACTTCTACAGCATACTCCTTCTCGTTTACCTAATAAGTTTTTCCACATTTACTCGCAAACTCATGGATAATTCAAAAAAGTTGTCGATCATTATAAAAGAGAACTTGGCAACTGTCTCTTTTTAAGCTTGTGACTCTTAGAAGATCCGTATAACCGACTATGTAAACTTCTTGAAGTTGGTTTACACCAGGAACTAGTCTGACTCGGTTCTGTTTCTTCACTTTTGACATAAACATCCAGCTGACAAGTCGGGAATTGGATGAAATGTGCGTTATTGATTCTTATTTTAGCCGCAACTCAAATAGACTGGAAACACTTGTGACTAAAAGACAATATCCAAATAATTCTCCAAGGGTGCACACTAACCAATAGAAACTGAATAATCCAATCTTTCAGTATCAATGACAGGATGTTACAAGCCTTGTAAAAACATAAACAACAATGTATTGGTTGCTTGAATCTTCCAATTCATGTTTAGGACTGCAATTGATCAGTCTCTTATTGGTGTATGTGCATCCTGTGCAGATTACCTCGATATTGCTTATAATTCACAAGCCTTATAAGCTAAGATGATGGTCCCAAGAAGCACGGTTCCACTGCTAGCCATTGTCATCTCAGCATGTAAACTACAATTTTTGGTGTTGTTTTGTGCTAAAATTAATATGATGTGTTAAGCAGAACCTTAAATATCCATAATCAGTGATTTTATTATTATGCCTCAACTAGTCATTATTTGGACACATTTTAAAGTGTACATTTACATCAAGAAATCATACATTACACTTCTAACGTTAAATAATAAGAAAGGTAAAATAACAAATTGTTTAAAGTTACTTTTGATTAAATTAATAATGAGATAAACTTCATAAGTTTTCCTGTTAGCATTTTGGTTATTGGCAACAATTTTCGTTCGAGTTACTGAGAAAAGAAAACATTTATAAAATTGTAATATAATACTGTTGATAACAATTAAGAACATATATTCAGTACATTAACAATAATAATTTTAACCTGCAAATAATAGTTAAATTAAAGATAGTTTAGGAACACTGTAGCTACTGTGAAATAGTTCGAATTTAGGTATTTTTGATTTTCATTTATTAATTCTTCTCAAGATTGAATAAACAAGTCAACTTTGAGGTAGAAGATTCTTTAATGATTTCTATGATACAGTCTGTACCTACAGTTTGATCATGATTACTAATTGTGTCTTTGCTGTAAAATGTATTAAACATTTGTTTGTCCTTCTTTGGAATAGAGTATATAAATGTGAACTTAATAAGTAAATAAACAGTATACTGTTTACATTATTTGTGATCAAATATTCATGAACTAATTATAAACATCATTATTACTATCAATATTATTAATACTATTATTATTATTCATATCACATCCTAAATAGGATTTTGTGCATGGAATTAATGCAAGTGGTTTACACGGTGCATATATGGTACTTGATACAACGTTCGATTTCAATACATTGATTAAACGTTTGCATATACCATTGAATGTTGCAGTGATGTGTAAATTAGAGGAGAATTTACAACGAATATTGAAACCAGCTAGGTAAAGTATCAATAATCTGTTGTTGTTGTTATTATTATTATAAACATCCATTTAATTAATTTATGCATTTGTTTAAAGGGAAAATCCAATTTTATTTATTCGTAATCAACGTTCATAGTTATGGGTCGATAAACATTTTTCTTCTTTAACAATAGACTATTCATTACATGTATGTTCACATCGTCATCAGCACGAGTTGCATTACTGCTTGGTTGTATAAAAATTCAATCATGTTTTTATGAAATTTAAATCTTAAAATACCACCAAGGAATTATTGAAAACGATTCCTGTCTATTCTGTTTAAAGCTAAAACACAAAATATACTCCATTTTTTAATAGGGTTTTATCAAGCACATTTTTTTGAACAAAATATTCGTTTTTAAAACTGTGCTTACAATCAGATCAGTGTTTATTTTAAGGATACTAGAGAGTTTACCAGATGAGAATAAAAAGATTATTCAGAGATCTCATCTACGTAAACCATTACATTTGGGATTAAGGGTATTCAATGTTAGTTAACAGTGGAGTCCCTGATAAATATTTCACTTTATTTATGATTCGTCTCCTGAGAGTGTCTGCTTCCCACTATCATTGTTCCTGTTGCGTCTCAAAGATATCACTCATTATTTTAATCATGTAATTATTATTTATCGGGTTACTTTTTATTCACTAAATATCAGTTTTAATTAAATCTTGTTACTTACACTTGGTGATTTCTTTTACAAAATCGCATCAATCAGCTTTGATTGAGATGTAGTTTTTTTTACGAGTATCTTGATATTAATAGTTATACCTTGATACTCTGTATAGCCCTATTAATGCTGTACTTGGTGATACCCGTAAATAAAATTAGGATCTAGTATAACAGTACAAATTTAGACGAAATTCTGAAAATCAATCTATAACAGGAAGTCAAAAGCTCTGTTTAGAATTTAGGAATTTACTGTTTCTAAGGTGACAATAAAAGTTGACAGTGATACATATCCTCACATTATTCTAAATAAAAAGTGAGGTATATTTGACCTATATATATATATATATATATATATATATATATATATATATGTTTAGCTATTCATGGACAACCAACAATCCGTATATAATTTGTTGTAAATAAACAACCTTAGTTTTACAAATCACAATGGCTGATATCAATTTTAAACTCTGGAGTTGGAGGTATGCACTTTTATAGATATCTGAGAAAATGTTCTTTATTTAGTAATATTATTGTAAGATAATGACATCTAATTGCTGATTCATAAAAACAGAACTTGGATATTTTAATGTGCTACGTGATATCTATAAAATTGTGCTTTATCGATTTTTTTGAGTAGTGCTTCACGACACTTAACTAACTTTATTTACAGCTCAAAATTAGTGTTTAACAAAAAATTCATATCACAGAATGCGATTCCATTTGCTGTGGGACTATAATGATATTTTTTACTCTATTTAGTCAGTTAATATCAACTTACCTATTTCAATTTTTTTGAATAATAATTATTGGGAACGTCAGAAAGTTGTGGCAATAAACTAAATGAATTAGGATTCCAGTATGTTTACTGAAATGTTTGTTTAGGTGTTGGTATTTTTTTATATTGACTCATATTTTGAACTTTTTAGTACATATGAAGAGTAATTTAGGTTAAAATAGTGTGATCTTATTGCTTTTTCATTAGTGGTTCTGTAGGGATCGAGAATACAGGTGGAGATAACCGAATGTATGTAGATTCAAAGGTACAGAGAATCTTGCTAAGTTATGAGACCCACACACTGAATACTTCATTTGCGAATCTTTATCATTTGTCTGTCACGCTCTGCGTGTTTTTTTTCAGTCCGCAATTCCTTACAATTTTTCCTTCCATTCTCTTCAGCTCGATCTTGTTAACTTTGTTAGCCTGCTGCCAGGTTTTCCGCTTCCGTTTCTTGTTACATACTACTTACGTCGATAGACACAAGTAGCATACACCACAGTTCCACGTTAGTGTGTCCACATATTTAATATTGAACAAGGTTACTGTAAATTTGACGCGGAGTTTCAATTATACGAAGACTTGAGTCTACGTTCTACTAAAAAACTCGAAAGGCTCAGAAGTTCAATAAAAGTTTATGAAACATTTTTAACCGTATGACATGAATATAAATAAATAATTATAAAAGTTTGACGGATCAAAGTTTGTTTACACAATAAAGTGATTAATAACAGCATATTCACTGATAGTGGTGCTTTGAGATGAGCTACGTACAGTTTAAGTAAAAGGCTGTGACTAATCGATTCAATCAAGCTAGGAGTGAGACTACTGGATTCGACTCTGTTTTCTAAACGTATAAAGCTCGTTTCGAGGCACGTAGGTTCTGGGAACTATCCTATGAAGGGTCAGTAGAGAATTCTTCTAAGGATTTCCGAGCAAAGAGGAAGTAGCAATTAGTTACTTTTTTTCATTAGTTTTTGGCAGATTTCAATTTATGGTGAAAATAATCTTCGAACTTTTGCCTTCTCCCCAAAAACACAGATGATATATTTGTATATTCAGTAGAAAGAAGACATTAGTAATTATTATCTCTTTCTTCATAACTATTTCATAAACTGAATAATTAAATGAAGATAAATCTTACGGTTTACATATTCTGTTCATGATGTGTTTCATGCTATTTGTTAATAAATCAAAATGAGTGATTTGTTATCATGTGACAAGTCAATTTACTTGTCTACATGCAATATTCACTTATTAACAAGAATTGTTAAATGCATGTGATTATGTAGACCATAAACTTTAAAACCATTCTAAACATTCTAGACTATACCTAACTGACTGTTCGAAATATTAAACTTTATAAAAATTTTTCCCGATGCCGTTTACTTATAACTTGATCTGAAAACAGATAAAAATTCCATATTTCATCTTATACACTGCATATTTTATTACATGTCAATCAGTTGGATTAATTTCTATTCAGTAGGAAAGCCATGTTAAATCATGAACTGATTGACTGTTATCTACTGAAATTAAGTATTGTCTCAAAAACCAATGTACCAACTAGACAGATAGACATCAAAATAAGCCTGTAATTGATGTGGGCTTATCCTAGTTGGCATACCTGATTAGCATGACATTATAATAGTAACAAACGAGATCGAAATTATGTAGTAGCGATGATAAAAAGAAAGACTATGCCTTGAGAACATCGTTTAAAAAGATAGAGTGTAAAGATATGCATAAAAAATACTGGAACTGAAGCGCGAGAGAAAGAAGAAAAATTTATGGATCTGTACCATTTCACCCATCGTCTCCAATCACTGATTCCAGTTATGACATGGACCCAAAAAAGGTAGTCTACATTTACTAACATAGCTTTAACCAACAACTGACAACTTGATTGGCTGACAAGACGTTTTGGTAAGGTCCCCCTAACTTTCTTCAAATCCACTTCTACGTAGGCAAGCGTCACGGATTGAGGTAGGCAGTGGTTAGGCATTTTTATATCGTTGAATGATTTTGGTCAAACAATAATATAAAAAAAACCTTGGAGCATTGAGCAGCTATTTTGTTCCGGCATCAGAATCCTCGGTAGAACCCATCCACTGCAACGCCAGGGATCGAAACCCAAATCTTCATTCCTCTCAATAAATGATACACCCCTTGAATACTGGATACCATCTCAGTATTCTAGGGACAGTTCATCATTGTTTTGCATGGTACTCCTTTGTTTTGCCCTCAGTGTGATTGTAGAAAGACAATGATAATGATTCCAATCTTAGGACAAGCTAATGCTTCCATGTTTTCAGACTTTATTTAACTGAAATTATTTCCTAATTGAAACTACATATTCAACAATCTCCACAAACTCATATATTAATAAACCAGAAAACGTTTTTAGAAGTTAAAAATTTCCCTTCTATTTTCCAGCTGATCTTATTTTTTAACCTGGAGTACCATTAAATGACTAAATATTAATGGAAATGATTTATAACCTACAGATGAAATTGGGACCTTTTGATCACTGTTTTTTTTTCTAATTGTCCTTAATTTGTTAGTTCCTGTATATAACTCCACTTATTTTCTGTCAGACGTTTTCTTAAGTATACTGATGAAATCATTATTCTGTCAGTCTTTCCTTTAGGCTAGATAGACAGTTATTGGCGAGGAATTTCTTATTATAAATTAGCTTTATTTGGGATTCGAACTAGGAGATATTACTGTCATCTTATTACAGAATGTGGACATAAATAGAATCACACTTGACGGAGAGGCTTTGGAGGATGTGAAAACCTTTTCATATCTGGGAAGTATCATTGATGAACTCGGTGGATCTGATGCAGATGCGGAGGCGCTGATCGGCAAAGCAAGAACAGCATATTTTTCACTGAAGAACATCTGGAACTCAAAACAATTGTCAACCAACAACAAAATCAAAATTTTCAATACAAATGTCAAGACAGTTCTACTGTTTGAGGCAGAAATCTGGAGAACTTCGAAAGCCATCATCCAGTAGATACAGGTGTTTATTAACAGTTACCTACTCAAAATGCTTCTGATCCGCTGGCCGGACACTATCAGCAACATTCTAGTATGAGAGAGAACAAACCAGATTTCAATGGAGGAAGAAATCAGGGAGAAGCGCTGGAAGTGTATAGGACACACTGCGTCACAAGGCAAGTCCTCACATGCAATCCTGAAGGTCAAAGGAGAAGAGGAAGACCGAAGTACACATTACGCCGAGAAACGGAGACAGACATGAGAAGAATGAACAAAAGTTGGATAGAATTATAAAGGAAGGCCCAGGGTAGAGTGGGTTGTTGAATGCTTGTCGGTGGCCTATGCTGCATTGTGGGTACCAAGTGTAAGTAAGTAAGTAAGTAAGTAAGTAAGTAAGTAAGTAAGTAAGTAAGTAAGTAAGTAAGTAAGTAAGTAAGTAAGTAAGTAAGTAAGTAAGTAAGTAAGTAAGTAAGTAAGTAAGTAAGTAAGTAAGTAAGTAAGTAAGTAAGTAAGTAAGTAAGT